GACAGTTAAATAGACACTACCTCTGAACACATACAACAGCTTCAACCATGCCAGTTCTAAGCATCTCAATTGCAATTGTGGTCACTATACCAGTCCACTGAGCCCCTGAAAAAGTGTAGATATGCAGGGCATATACATTGTGCTTCATGAAAGGTGCAGACATAATTATTTAAAGCATTTATTATATAAGTTTAAGTTTTGGTGTAATTACAAGAAAACCCTTCAATTACAACCGAAAGGGAACATGTCAGGTCAACAAATGCATTAAAAAACAAAAAGAAATTGGCCATTTTTTTTTTCAGCAGAAAATTTTCTGCATTCTGAAAATAACTAAACCATTTAAGAAAGAAAAGCAGAAATAAAATGATAACAATAAAAATCAAAGGCATCACAGGTTATGACCATAAAACCCACAAAAAACTGCAATCTAACATACTGAATCCACTACTCCATGAGTTGACTACAGGTTCTAAGGAAAAAGTTCAAAAGGGAAGGCTTTCCTTGCTTGGATTAAAACAGGTTTGTTTTCCTTTTCTCTCTTTTTTAACGAACTTTTTTCGCCATTTAAACGATAGATATACCTTGAGGATGAAGCAGAATATTAACATTTGATTACCATAAGACTATATGTCACCGCTTGACTCCATGGTTAAATACATTAGGTTGGTCGTTCATTAATTTCACTTTTGTGATAATTCACTTTTGTAATTTTATATACTCTTCGCTAAATACCATTTTGATATATTATTAGACTTGCATATGCAATTTGCAACCTCAGTTATATATAAAAGAGAGAGATCAATACAGAAGGCCAAGCTGTTATACACGATAAAATGATCGCAGCCTAAATATTTATTGATGCGAACCTTTTTTACTTTATAAGTTCTCCCATTTGGTATACCATGTGCAACGTTACAGCTAATAATTCCAGAGAAGGAGGGGATATAAAGGAAGAAAGAAGCATTAGTGCATGAATTGAGATGGTATAAGAATGTTCTAAACAGTTCGGATTTAGTTTTTCTGTTCATACAATGAAAGTCCAGGAGAGGCTAATAAGCAAGACTGGATTTTACTATTGCCGATTTATATCTTCCCAAGAGATGCTTAGTAACACCCTCGCCAAGAACTGGTTCTTCCCAAAAACTTCACGTTTAAGCAATAAATATTATCTTTTAATTTCAAACTAATTCCATTTACACAAATTTTAGACTTGTTTGCTGTGATTGCTTCCCCTTAGCTATATACATAAGGAAAGGTGAGTAGTTCATGAGTAACACAAATTGGTTGGAAAGGGGAGAAAGATTTACATGACATTAATCAATTCCCGAGTTCCCATTTATCAGCTACAGTTTCCTTCTTCATGGAGAAAATGTAAAAATCAAATGTAAGCAACCGCTTCATTGGCAACCAGAAAATTAACTGATGTAGAATATTTTAATCTGTTTAAAAGCACATATAAAGCGTATAAACTGTATACAGGTGTTCTTCTTAAGAATAAGGTATAAGAAGAACAAAGTCCAGAAGCAACAAAGCCACATGGAAGCCTCACCTGCTACAGGATTGATTTTACGAGCATAAAGTAGGTCCTCATAAACTCCCATGTACGTCTCTTGCAATGAATCTATTTTTCTTCCTCGACCGTGAACGATTGGTTCAAGAGCCTAAGATGGCAACTCAAAACACATTTAGTCAATACAGCCCCATAATGAATCCGTACACTTCACAATTTTAGCAATCAGTAACTAAATTGTCATGCACATAGTCACAGCTATAAAAAATTTAAAATTGTTCTTAGGTAAATCAATAATCGAATGTGTGTGCTCCAATCTAACACCCTCATCATAGCCCGCGCTAGTCGCATTTAAGACATGGATAACTTAAATAAACAAGAAACCGAAGGTAAAATCCGTATCATGGTTCAAGAAATGCTTTGCACTTCTTTTGCCTGTAACAATAGTTGGTCAATAAAATGCAAACTGCTGAACAAAGAGAATAAAATAGTAGCTCTAACTATACCACTTGGGATTTGCCAATATTCTTCATTTCAACCAAAAAAAAAA